ACTTCGCTCTTGGCTTTGGAAATTTATTTCGCAGCGATGGAATTTAAATTTTATGAAATCTTTCCTCCCGTGGATGGTGTTTGACTGACTCTTGGGGATTATAATGGTTTTAAAGTTTTCAATCGTCAAGAAATAATTTCTTCACATCTACACGAAGTAACCACGAAAGTGTATTTATTACTTGTAATTTCATCATTAGTCACATGTATGACTGTTTGCGAAAAGTGTATAATGGCATGGTTTCTTCGTTTTTCCAGTTATTTTCATGTCCATAGTGCAAAAAAGGATAACACTATTTTTTAGGGACTAGCATCTGCAAAAATTTTCAATTCGATTAGTTCATGGCAGACCAAATCTACTCTAAATACGACTTCATGCTCTGAATAAGAAGAGTCGGTTTCTTAATGGAAAAAAATACCTTACATGGAAACAAATGTTTTTTGTTTTAAACGCTACATCCCGTTGGCACACGTTTTGGTGGTCGTGACACTGATACATCTTTTGTCTCAAAAGCTCGTGTCTGCGTGCACTGGAAAAAAAAAAAAATAATAATAAAACTTACGAAAACTCGAGTGCGAAAAAACAAACGAGAAAAGTATTTTCACTGTCAAATTGAACGAAACCAAAAAGCCTTCCTGGGACGAGGGCTCGAAAAAACAACAGAATAGAACAAAACGAAAAATAATAAACTTACCAGCAGAAAGAAAAACCAACTGAAAAAACACACAACTTTTATTCTTCCAACTACGACTGTACGCGAAAGAAAATAGCGATTCGTTATTTACGTGTCTCTACATAACGTTGCCGCACACTGGAGCAGTTTTTTTTTTCCTCTCGGAGTTACATACAAACGAAGCAGTAGCAGCAACAGCTAAAGTCAAAAAGCCGACGCTCTCGTGGTACTCTCTTGGATGGTTACTTTTTCTCCTCGAAGCGGCAGCGCAGCGTAATAGCCGAAGGTAGCGTCGGCCTGAACGAGCCAATTGGAGAGAAAGAAACAATCTCGCCGGGGGAAAAGAAGAGCAAGATGGCCCATTACCCTCTCGGGGCTCCATAGACGAGGATGGGGGGATGCAAATGCTTGGCGCCTGCTTATGCGCGCGAGAAATATTCCTCCAGGCTTATTATGGCACATTTAACGAATATTCCCTCCTTTGTCTCTCTTTCTTGCGTAGCTCGGGCAAAAAGAAAGTGGCACTGCTGCTTTTACGCGCTCTTTTTCTCTCTGAACAAATGACTCACGATGATTTAAAGATAATGGACCGTGTACGCGTGGAAAGGTACGTTTATATGATCTTTGTTTCAGTGCACTTCCATTGAAGTGCTAACGATGTTACTTTTGTTGAGCTTTCGAACCTTTTCTTTACTGGCTTGGAGTATTGTGTGAATTCAGCTGCAGTCAATGTTGCTTTTTTGTTGGCTTATGCACAGTATATTTTAACTGAATTATGTGCATAGAGCATGTATGAGTTACTTTCAAATTTCAATATTTTTTTTTCTTACTCCAGTGAAAAGCTCTTCCTGTGCAAGAAAGGATTTAAGTAAATATGAAACTCGTCGATCAAGAATTACCAACAAACAGAGATTAATGCGACAAATAAAAAGTTGTAGCGTTTACATGACATTAAAAAAAACTTCTTCCATTACTTCAGATAGTATTAACAGCTCGAAGGATGGAGGCATTATCTCGAATTTGGAAGCAAGTAGTCTACCTTAAGTTGGTAGTGGAAAAAAAGCGGTATCTTGAAATCATTAAGAAAGAAGTATTATCTAAGAACCTATTTTTCTCACTTGAGAAATAGTCACGTTAGGGAACGCCATTAAGGACTGTCTGGTGGATTTTCCCGTTAAAATAAAATTAATAGTTGAAAGAAGATTTGCGGCTATTAATTTTTTGGTTTTGCTTCAGAATGATGACAGAAGTGTATTGTAAAGATAGAAAACAATCATATGAAAAAAAATTTTCCCTTAAAATATTAAAACAGCTCTTTTCGTATGTGTAAAATAATCTGTAAGTAGAAAGTACCGAGTTTGGTCAGACAGTCGTCGCAAAATGGAATAGGTGACTATTCAAGGTTTCATTTACTTAATGGATCGAACAATTACGTTTTTTTTTTTTTTCAAATACTTGTCATTAAACAAAAAACTGTACATCTGAAAAGTTCATTTTTTACGCCAAAGCAACAAAACCACCAAATATTTCTTTGTCAGGTAGCTATGTTGCATTTCGATAATAGTATGATCTACAACATACTTAGCTGGCCTTTCATATTGTTACCATACTCGAGTAATTTATTTAGACTTGATGTACTTTTGACATGACATGATTTAATGTATGAAAAAAAAAAAAAAAACCACTGAACAAACATCCCCTTGAATTCTACAAAAAGAAAAACTACCAAAATTAAACATCTAAGAGCAAAGAAGCATCAATTCAGCGGGCAAGCGAAGATAATAAAAGAAATTAGTGGAGCAAAACTTTCCCTACAGTAGGGTGGAGGGGAAAAGTAGCCCTGTTTAAAGGCTCGAAATTCGATAAGGAACGCGTGCGTAAGTTCAACGTGGGGAAGCGCTAACGGCGTGCGGGCTTTGGGGGAAAAAGAAGCCAAAATAGATGAAGGGAGGGAGCAGGAGGAGGTGCAAGTCAAACGGAACAAAAGAGCTGGCTCGGCAAATATTTGCCGGCACAAGTAGTAGCAGTCTGGTTCGGCTGAATTCGCCGTTTTGCGCTTTATAAACGGGATTAACTCCCAAGCGCGTATGTATACACGTGGAGGCCTTCCCCCTCTGAAAATCTCCATGCGCTAGACTACCTATTTTCCCCACGTACCCCGACGTGGCTGACCACCTCATGCGGAAAAAATATCTGCGTGTATAAACACGTGGATGGACAAAAAGTCGCAAGGGCTGATTGATTGGCCGAGCGCGTGAAAAAACTCAGTTGCGTTGGAAAAAAGGAAAACGTAGTGTCAACGATGTGCAGCTCCTTTTACTCCCCTTTTTCGCTCATTTCGAAAGCCTCCACTTTTTTTTACATGCGCTGCTGCTTCTGCTGATATTCGTCCGCTCGAAAAGCGAGAAAAATACATCGCAATGATTGGAAATTACGGTTCGTTTGTACGCGCATGAGTGTGTATGTGCACATACACAGGAATGAGTATTACGAGCTGAGTACGAATAGAAATGGTACAACTAAGTTGCGCTCATTAAGATAACTGTACTGTTATCGTCGTCAGGGAAAAGAGGGGGAGTAAAAAATGTACGTAGCAGAGCAGTAGTTTGTCAACGAGTAGTTTCTACTGCATACCAATGTTCAACTTGTAAGTTTACTGTGGTTTCTTGTGTTTTCAGCTATTTAAAAAAAATATATTAGTTTTCACAAAAGAGGCAACGAAAAATCCAAGGTATGATGAAAGGATATGTCAAGTTTTCTAGAATGAGCATGAAGTGGATCAAATTTCTGCTGTACGCAATCAACTTTGTTTTTGTGGTTGGTATTTCAGTGTTTAAATGTGTTTGATTTGAATGTACATACATTTATTACAGTTAATTTTTGTTAACTACTTTTAGTAATTAGATTTTTCTAAAACTCTAATAACTAGTATGGAGTAAGGTGGAAAAGTAATTTACATTTTTTTTAGTTATGGTATGTGGCATGAGTTAGTCTTTGGATCAGATGTGAATGAATAACACAATTAATTGATAGAATTGTCAACTAAAGCAATACATAGCACTGGATTTAGAATTGTATAAAAAAAGAGCTTATAATAGAAAAAAATCAAAGGCTCACATACAATAACTACAAAACGTTTCAAATATTGTAAAGTGAATATTATTGAAAAATTGTTAACCATATAATTGTTTTTTATAAATTATATTAATAATTGTAAATGATTGGTTGAACTGTGCCTAAATAGTGAAAAAAAATATAAATGATTTAAAAATCAAATTTAAGTATATAACTTTTTATTTTAAACAAAACTTGAGTAAGTATATTGAAAGCATTGGTTTAAAATTTTAACCAAAATTTTGGATTATAAAAAAAACTGTATCACTAAACCTTTTAAACAATCAAAGAAATTCTCCAGTAGCAAAAACAACAATAGTGTTCTACCAAAACAAGTACTCCAAAAGCTGAGAGAGGTTTTTGAAATCCCTAGTTTTGAAGTACTAACCAATACATTCAGAAAGTTCAGGAATGTTTCTCAACATAATCAGTTATCGATCATGTTTATCAGGATTTGATAAATACTGTAGTCAGAAAAGTGGTAACTTGAGAAAATTTGAGCTTCCAAGAATCATTAAACAAAATATATAATGAATTCGAGAACTATGCAATAAAATTGGTTAGTGCTGCAAAAGAAATTATTTGCATAGTTTATGATGATTGTGTGGAAAAAATACAATTTAATAAAAATACAAAGACTAAGATTGGTTGTTTCATAATTTTTATTTGTAACTCGTTTAATAATCTGAAGGAAAAATCCTATATGTAACAAGCAATCATAAAGTTTTTTTATCATTTAAAATACAATCTATTAAAATTAATAAAGAAAACTATGGTAAATAATTAATAAATTGTGTAGTGGATATAGCTCATTTGCCAAAAATTTTTTTGGTGAGCATTTTCATTATATGATAACCTTATAACTATCATTTTTTAAGTAAAAAAAAAATTAAAAATAACTTAGCTTTGAAAAAAATAGAATTTGAAAATAAAAATGAGTCTGACTGGATAAGTATTAATTAGAAACTTACGATTAAAATGTTATATTAACACAAATATAGTATTTTAGAAATACAATTTTTTTTCATTGTTGGGCAAAGAAAACATATTGTTTTTACATTTCATTTTCGATCCGTTGCATACAGCCCAAATTCCTTATAACTAATTTAAATAATTTACAGTTGACTGGTGCATTGATAATTTTCATGACTGAAAAGATACATAAGATGTACCACGAATTTCCTTATTTCTTGGACTTTAAGTACTCTTCACCGGCTATCGTATTCATCATTGTAGCCATTTTCGTATTTATCATATCCTTTTTTGGTTTCTACGGTACATACAGAGAGAGTACTAGTATAATTATGACGGTAAGTTTACGTAACTGAAAATATTTAAATCTGTGATGAAAAAGTAAATCTTAATTTTTAAGTAGATCTGTATTTTATTTGCAGTTTTCAATTATTCTATCAACAGTTTTTATACTTGAATTTATAACATTAGTAACTGCCTATACTCTCCAGGACGACGTAAATTATTATTTAAGCAAAAAAATGGAGGACACCATGAAACAATACTACAAAAATCCTGCTGCCCAAAATACAATTGATAACTTACAACAAAATGTATGCAATTATACTAGAATTTTATCATAAAGCTTGTACTAAAAAGCTTCTAGATCAATTAATATTTCACTTTAATTTATTAAATGACGATTTTAATTTATTTTTTATTATTTTTCTTAACTAAAGTTAAAGTGCTGTGGATACGATGGGCCAGATCAGCTGATGAAAATAGTTGCTTATAAATCAGTGATACTCATAGAAGTTTATCCATCCTCATGCTTTGAATGTGAAAATTCCAAGTGCCAAGCCCAACTTTTTACCCAAGGCTGCCATCAAACATTGGCTGATATTGTTAATGACAATACAGTCTCCCTTATCACTGGAGTCACGATAATTATTTTTGTACAGGTAAATATACTAACTTTTTACTAATTTACTCATTTCCAAACTAGTCACTTCATTTTAGGATTTAAAATATGTGAGAATAATTAATATTTATTTTTTTGAAGGTTGTGAGCATAATGCTTGCTTGCACTCTAGAACGCATGATTCACAAACACAAGATGGATAGAAACATGCGCATGTGTCAAAAGCGAACGACCCGGCAGAACATATATGTACCTTTTGACAAGACCAACCCAACAACTACTTTTCACGCTGTTCATATATAAAACGTTGTTATTTTATTTAATTAACGCTACATATAAAATTTAAGTAACAGTTATTAAAAGTGAATAGTCGTCTTTATAAAGTTATATCTAAATTAATCCATTTAGTACATAGCTAAAGACATATTTAGACCGTTGGTCATTTTGTGACTAGTTCTATGTTGGTGGTTTCCTAAAACTAATCATTTTCTCTTAATAAATGATGATTTTCAATATATTATTCGATATTTACTTGTATTTTCCAGATGTAGCTTAAATTAAATATTAAAAATAAACGTAAATCAACATTGTTAATCTAGAATTGCAAATGTTTTTGCTTAATTGTAAACTTTAATTGAAAAAATGGACCATATGTTCATATTTGCAAGGATGAAGATGTTTAAATAATGATGGTTAATGTAGTTTGTAACAGTAATCATATTTAGCTATAGTACACAAATCTTTAGCAATGTTTAAAATGATAAAAACATTAAAAATTCGTTTAAAACTTGTGAAATTAAAAAAAAAATCAAACAAAAGTATGTACTTTTGTATGCGTTAATCATTATAAATAAAAATTAACAAAAAGAAATTTTTAATTTTTCAGTATTTGTGTGTACTACAAATTTTATAAAAAAAAGTTATACAAAAATCTATACAATGTAATTAAAGTTGTTACGTTTATTATTCGTTTTAGAAGTAACTAGAAAAGTCTTAGAAAAAGCAGTTTTTGAAATACGTTTCTGAGGTATTATTAAAAACTTAATGTCATGTATGCGGGGGGCGCTTATACCATTTTCTATACTGATATTTATTGAGGAAAATCATGTATGTTGGATGCTGTGTGAAAGGTTTTTCCCAGAATTTACAAAAGGACTTTTAAAAACTTTTGAATACCAATAAATTTTGTTTCACGCACATCGAGGTATCAGGTATCATTTAAAATCATACATTATTACTTGCATTTCAAGCATACTGTATTGTTTCGAGCTGCACAATATGTGTTTTGAAATACAGGTGGACTTTTTAAAAAAAAGTCATTAACTGGCATACTATCGTTACTACTAACATTATCATTTTTATCATGTATACTTTTTAACGAGAAAAAGGAGAGAGAAAAACATAGTCGACATGATTGGCATCAGTCTATCACCGAGCTTCTTTGCACGCAAGTTAAAACTTTTTGTCTTCCAACCATTTTTTTACTCTCTAACATTTACAGAGATTTATTCAACTTTTTGATTTGTTATATTTCTTTCAGTTTTTACGTGGTTTACATAACAGAAGATTATATGGATACACCAACCCCGAACTCCGGTATCAACATGTGGTGGATTAAATTCATTTTGTGTGGTATCAACTGCTTTTTTGTGGTCGGTATTCAATTATCTTACTACAAACATCATTTTTTTATTTATTTGATTCGCTTGAGGCGATTGTATTCTAAAAAACTTAGTCGATACGTATGATTCTTTCATACCCAAAAAAACCATTGGCAATTAATTATATGGTTGTTAAAAATGTTTGTCAATACAAAGCTATTTGGATTAGAAAGTGAAGTACATGTAAAAAATCTGTTTGAATTATGAATAATCAAGTTTACTAAATTTGTAATAAGCATATGCATGTGAAATTTTTCACGAGCTCTTTTCACTTTTTTTACAAGTTCAAAATACATGTAACGTTTGTATGATTTTATTAACAAGTGTAGCAGCTGGAAAAATAAATTTCAAAATAATTACTGTATGTTTTTGATGTATAAAAATATTTTTAGCTCGTTTCATATAGTTGGCTTTAATAAAATTAAAACAAAAACTGAGTCATCGTCGAGCTATTAATTACTATTTCAGTTGAATGTCAGTCTACTGTAAAATCATGTTGAAGTCACAGTTTATACAATTATGTAACTCGAAAAAAACTGTTCAGTGGTTGCCATCTTCTTGTAGTGTTACGCGCGCTTTTTGAATTTCATACTTTCATCGTAATATAAGGAATCTTTTCGTGAGAAAGGAATAAATATTAAAGCATACTACAAACATCTTTAAATAAATAATTGAACATATAACTGATAAAACTAATAACGATAATCGGAAAATTCATTGTTAATTTTTTATATTTTCAGCTGACTGGTGTAATAATACTTTTGATTAGAGAAGATGTGTACGAAAAATTGGCCGATTACTCTTATTTCATGGATTATAATTATCTTGCGCCCTCTATTCTACTAATTATTATAGTATTTCTAATTTTTCTTGTAAGTGTTTTTGGCTGCCATGGTGCACTCAAAGAAAGCAGCTGTATGGTTTTAACCGTAAGTTCTTAATCAAAAATGTTGGATACTATGTCCAAAGTATCAAACTGTAAGCCAAGAATCTAAACATTTGTCTCTCTTTTATAATTAGTTTGCATGTTTACTATCCATCGTGCTCATACTTGAATTTGCAGTATTAGTGACTGCTTATATGCACAGAGGCAATATAGCTGAACTTCTAAAAAAAAAGATTATGGACGCAATATACCAATACGACACAAATGAATCGGCAAAGGGTACTATAAATAACTTACAATATAATGTAAGTAAATATTACATCATCACTTAAAACATAATTAATTATAAATTTTTACTCTATAATCTATTTTAAAACCATGAAGTACTTTAACATTACGCGCTAAAAAGAAAGTAATAACAACACGTATAAATAGGAATGAAAACATTTAAGGGATTGTTTGTAGTTACGGACGAGAGAGATTGTAAAGAGTGACAGCTACGATTTGTCTAGGTTGCAATATGTTTAAGGCGAGCTGCGGTTAACATCATCACTATAAATGATCCTAAATATTTAGCCTACTCTTAAATCATCACTACGTCATTCTAGCAATGCTTTCCACTTTTGTAAGATTAATTTTGTAAGAGTGCAATCACTAAGTGGTTAACTGTAACGCATTTTTTACACTCATCATATGGTATCATATCTTGTGTCTAATCTTACAAAATATATAGTTACAATGCTGCGGATCCTACGGACCAAGTGACTGGAGAGCTGTAGTCCCGTATTCATATGTTTGCTTAAAAAGTGAAAGAGTAGTTCATTATGTTCCAAACTCTTGTCAGCAAAACGAAAATGAAGAATGCTTCAGGAGTACTTATCAAACGGGCTGCTACCAAAAATTAGTTAGCCTTCTGAATGACAGTGCTTTTCATCTTATTGTTGGGACTGGTATCATCGGTCTTCTGCAGGTAATTATGCAAATACCTACGTACATTATACAATACACATGTACTAAAAGTGAGTATTCGTATTTGCATCTCAATCATAAATTCTAGTTTTGTATCGATAACTCTATTTTAACATTTTTATCTATTTTGATCTGTATATCTCTCTGTTTTCATCGATTTTTGGAGAATTTAAACACAAAAATGCAGGGTTCGGTACGAAGAAATAAAAAAAAAGTTATACTATACAGAGACAGGATTTTAAAGAAAAAAGCAAAAGAGTTACAAACATAAAATGTAATATTACAAGATTATAGTTTTTAGTCAGAGTACAAGTATGAAATTTGAATGTGTAAAAACTTCACTTCACTATAACATATGACTACATATGGACATATAATGGTCTTAGAATAATACAAGAATAATATTCAGCAATGTACTAATGAAACAAACCATTTGTTTTCACCTTAAAAGAATAAAATGTTTATTTTTTTTAGTAAAAAAAATGACACCTTTTACCCCTCCTAAGCTTAAAATATATTTCTTCAATAATGAGTTCCCTGTTTAACCGCAATATTAAGAAATAATAGAGATGTAATGATTATACTTTTGTTGCAGATGGCTGGAATAATATTTGCTTGCCTGCTAGGGCATAAGATTATCAAACAGAAGACGAATCAGAAGATGTCGATGTGGCAAAAGCAATTGACTCTAGAGGGCATTCATGTACATTTCAATAATATGAATCAATAACTAACGCTAGTAACGTTTGAAACAATTTTTTAAAGTATATATATATANNNGACTTAACTGCACTATGTAAAAAACTTATGGGTTATAGTTTTTATTAAAAAATAAAATTTATTTTAGGTGCGATTATTTTACTATTTTTCTAAGCTACGAATTTAGTCTTTTTATTTGTTCATTAAAGAATATTACAAACTTTTTAAAATCATTGTAATTTATGGAACACAAATAAAATCCTGTTTATGCGTCTAAAAATAAATCCTAACAATGCACAAAATACTTATGTATTTAAATACCATGGAACTAAAGATTTTGTAGAACTACTCATACTTGCCTCGATTTTTGAAGAAAGAAAGTGATAAGTAGCATATCTTCATCGTCGTTATTGCAATCACCATTCTTTCATAAGGAGTGGGAGTATGAAGAGGGGAGAGTGAGCAACGTACACAGTATTAGATTGACGAGTAACCTCAACCGAGAGTCACAGTATCGATTTTATTCTTAATTATAATACTCAATAAATTCTCACATTGATTTTGGCTTATTGATTTGATGTTGCTTACTCTTTTTCGGAAAGTATTTTTTTTTTTTTTTTTTTTTTTTTTTCAATAAAAGCTTTGTATAGAACAGTTAAAAAAATACAAAAGAAGCAGAAACCTCATACTTTAGTACCAACATGCGGTGGATCAAGTTACTGCTCTGTTTTATCAACTCTATTTTTGTGGTTGGTATTCAAGAATTTCACTAGGCTTGCTGCTTAGATACTAAGCATATATTGTAGTTATTTGGGTAAGGTGGAATTTTATAACAAAATAAGTTCTAGGAGAAACTATTTCAAAATTGCATTATATAAATCAATTCTTTACCATTCTCAGTATAATAAAGTATGCTATATGTTAGTTTTATGATATTTTATGTACTAAGGGGTATAAAACTCTTAGTGTTTATCAGGAAGACTTTTTAAGTCAAAGTAAAAGATAAACGAAGACATGTTGCTCAAGCATAACAATTTGTTATTCCTAAATCATGGTTGATAGTCTCAATATATTAAACTATATTTAGTGTACCTAAAAATTGCTTACGTACAATTTTTTCATCATAAGTGTTAAGCATATACCAGTGTGTGGTGTTGTTTTAAAAATAATTAACGGAAGTTCATTGTTAAAAAAATTAATATTTCTGTTATCTACTAATCACGTATAACCTCTTAACAGAACACCGATTAGCTACTATTTTTTTCAAGTTAGACACTCTGAAATAACACTGTGAATCACACTCTAATCTAGTCTTCAGTCTCTATATTATTCCTTTTTTTTTCCTACAAGCAAATAAGCGTGTTACGAATCAAAATGTCAATGAGAGTCAACGATAAATAGGTACATTTTTGAAACAGTAAATCGCAAAGTAGGCAAATAAAAATCTATTTTTAAAACTCAAGTCGTAAATTATACATGTTCAAGTTAGTTGAGCTTTTTGTTCGAGTGAATACTCACAGAAATAATTTTAATTAAAATGACTTATGGAAAGTTACCTTTCACTTATTCAAATTTTATTTCAGATAACTGGATTCTTAATTATTTTAATAAGTGGAGCCTTATTTGATACATACGAAAAGTTCTCTTACTTCTTGGACTCTAGATATTTTTCACCGGCTATCCTACTCACCATCTTAGGTATTTCAGTATTAATCATAGCCTTATTTGGATACTGGGGTGCACTCAAAGAGAACCCTTGTTTGGTATTATCCGTAAGTAGTTTTATCGAAAAAAAAGTAAACCTTGTTAAGCCTATCTGACTTGAGCACAAATTTTAAAACATGTTTCTCGCTTTTATTTACAGTTTGCCTTTTTATTATCGATGGTGCTGATACTCGAATTTTCGGCATCACTGGCTGCTTACGTTCTACGAGACAACATTTTTAGTGCCCTGAAGAGAAAATTCAATCACACCATGCACCATTATCACAAGAGTTTTGAAGCAAAAGATGCCATCCGTTCTATACAAATATTGGTATGCAAACACTTAGCCAATTCTACATTGTACTTATTACTTAAAATCTAATAATTATCCGTGTAACACAATATTTTTACTACTAAAATCATGGTTCATTTCAATGTAATGATTGAATAACAATAACAATGTTAATAGTAATACAATCTCTGAAAAATAAAAAAAATTTTGTTATTTTAAACTGACCAGTCATTTAAAAATATTTTTGGATTTCTGTACCAAAATCTTTCGTCAGAATTCAGAATTGAGCCAAAGTAATTTTTAATATGATTTAAATAAGCTCCACTTACTGAGTTGAAGACCAGCCAAATGAAACTGAAACAACTGTATTCTTGTAGAGCTGAGTAATAAGCAATATTTGTTTTAAAAATACATTAGTTGGAGTGTTGCGGATACAATGGACCGAGTGACTGGTCAAAAATAAACCAAAAGGCCAGTAATCACAATTTTCCGATTGAGTGCGCATACACCCATTGCAAAAGTACGTGCGAGAACAAGATCCATTATTCACAGGGCTGCTACGAAAAATTGTCCGACGTTGTGAATGACGATGCGATTTTTATAATCGAAGGAGCCACAATGATTGTATTAATCCAGGTAAATATAAAATTTCTTTGTGTAATCGTTTTGCTTGTAGTTCAAAAAGATGAATAATATATTTCTTGCAGATTGCTGGAGTATTGTTTGCTTGCATGCTCGGACGCGCGATTAGAAAACATAAGACGCTACGAGAGATGCGCAGGTGGCAGGAGCGACAGGCACTGCAACACATACACGTTCATTTTGAAAAGATGAACTCTCTAAACGACTCTCCATACACTCCCATGTAGAGAAATAACGATTCGTTACTGGAGATCTATCTATCTAATTTTTAAATGCTCACAATCATTCTTCCACTATACGGATGTGGTATCTATGATTATGTATTTATGTGTGTGGCATAAAATATATACAAACCACTGTTATAATTGTCCTTACCTGTGTTTCAGCTTACGCTTTATTTTGTTGGTATTTATACGTATATTAAGAATAAAGTAAGAAAGATGTTTTCGTTGGATAGTATTATGACCGATGATAACATCACGTCGAGAGAGGGGAGGAAAACGACTTAACTGCGCAGAAGTTTACTAATGACCGTCTTTGAGCCTGGGTGAGAGTTATTTTCTCACTAATTTTTTCAATCAAATTAGTTGCACGAATAACGTAGAGGCAAGATGGGTGCACCTAGGTCACACTCCGGCATTAGCAAGCAGTGGATACAGTTCCTACTTTTTGCCGTCAACTTTATTTTTATGGTTAGTATTAGAGTATATTTAAGTCCTTGGTATTGATGTATGCACACTTTGTTACGTGTACTTCTATTTGTCACATTTTCGAGATATTTGACACGTGCATTGTGACTTTCTAAACCTGTTATCTTATCTAACATCAAAACGAGTGACTGTCAACTTTCTTTAACTTTGAGAGATTTTTGAAAACTTATATGCCTACTTGTGTAAAATCATGGAAGTCACGGCTTTATTTATGAATGTAATAAAAATGGCTGCTGTTACCGTAAGACTTTTTCGTTCGGATATTATTATGCTCTTATAATATGTTACCAATAATTTTCGATCAAACTATATAATTTCATAATATGAAAAAAGTTTGGATTTATTCACATATGATAAGGTGAGTAATAAGTACTCGCGTGATATAAATGTATTAGGTTAACAGCATTTTGAATGTATACGTTATGGTAAACCTTTACTTGTGTGCCGTCAGTCGTGAATAAATTTGTACTGTTGAATAGTGTGTGCAGTACCCTGCTGTTAACAATAATTTCAAATTTTATTTCTTTTATACTTTATAAATATAAATGTACTTGCGAGGGTAAAGAATTACTTCGATTCAGTTCCTCTGTGACTCTCAATAATAAAATGATTATCGTCAATTTCCAATACATACAATTCATAAAGATGTAATTTTTAGTTTATCATAACGTATTAGTTCTATTCAAAGTTTAAGTAAAAAACCGGTTAAAAGGTTTTTCAAATGGTACGTTAATGCTTTAGGACTGTAAAATGGTATTGTTTGTAATAATTTAATTCAGTTAAGTATAATAGGTATGTATGTTTTACTATTCGTAAAAATACATACACATTCAGATGTCTATTACTTTCCGATTTTTATTTTTCGATTAAGCACCCTTTGAAATATCTTTGATATATTCCTTGACTAAAATCTGTACCCTAAAAAACCAAAAATTTTATAGTTAACACATGCTGCTAAACACAAGATGACTTTTGAATAACATGAGATTAAAACTTTTTAACATTGATTAATTTTTTTTACTACTTTCAATATTTTTTCTGGATTTTAAAATCACTTAACTTTTTTTAGCTTTGAAGGAGTACCTTAAAAAAATTGAATTGGTTTTTTTTTTCCTTGAAAATGGCCAAAAAAAAATTAAATAAAGTTTGAAAATTCGAATCCCATAATAATTGAGTGGAAAATAATCTTGTGTTTGTCGGCACGTGTCAACTCCAAAATTTTTAGATTTTCAAGGTATGTATATTAGTATTTGAATATAACGGAGAAATTTCACATGGTACATGATCAAGAAATCGAAATCTATAGAAACAAGGGACATTCTCATATTTATCGGTCCTGTCAATAAAGTTGAAGACTAAATTCTAAGAATCAATTATTGATTAATAATTGAAGTAAAAGTTAATTGATGTTCATTTTTTTAGTTGACTGGTTATTTGATACTTTCGATGACTAAAGTTATGTATAATTTATACGACAAGTTCTCTTACTTCTTGGACTCCAGCTATTTTTCGGCCACTATTTTTCTTACCATCATTGGTTTCTCAATTCTTACTATAACATTTTTCGGCTACTGTGGTACATTTATGGGGAGTTCTGATATGGTTTTCACTGTAAGTATACTTTTTGCAAAAGTTTCAAAACTGAATTTTCGTCAAACAAATCAAAGTATTGAAATGCTTACTTATCCCTCGTTTTTATTTATAGGTTGTGTTTTTGATGGTAGTAGTGCTTTTACTCGAAATTGCGGCAATATTAAATGTATACGTTTTTCAAGTCGATATTTTTGCTTTTTTGGAGAAAAGCATCACGTATGCCATGTTTACATACTATGAAAGCTCCGAAGCTGAAGAAGCTATGGATTCATTGCAGAAAAATGTAAGGAAGTACTACAGCCAACACCACATTAAGAATTTAGAATCCTATCATTATACGTACCACTTGGCATTTATATTGTTCAATTGATAGTTTTATTTCGAGGTCCTCATGTAATAATCATTTGAATTTTTTTTTTTTTTTTTTTTAACACACGTAGTTAGAGTGCTGTGGATACGACGGACCAAGAGACTGGTGGATACAATTTCGGAGGTCACATGCTAATTATGTTACTCCAAAATCCTGCTGGTATGAGTATTACAAAAATTCCAAGCGCTCGATACATTTTTATCCTCAAGGTTGTCAGAAAAAATTGGCTTTCGTTATTAGTAGTACTTCAATTAACATGCTGAGGGGAGCAATGATGATTGTGTTGATACAAGTAAACAGATATTTTTCATTTATTCATAAATTTCAAGCTTTTCGTTTGATCAAAAGATAACATAAATATGTTTGATTGCAGATTGCCGGGGTAGTGTTTGCTAGAATGCTCGGACACATGCTTAAAAAAAATAAGACCAATCAAGAAATACGTATGAATAAAAAATGGACGACTCTTCAGAACATGTATGTTCCTATTTGATAGACTAATTGGAATCATTAAATTTCCAATCACTTGTATGAGACATAACAAGGTTTTTAATCAATCAATGTATTTATCCGTGACTAGTCGTTAAAGAAGTTCTATGGATCATAGGATTAAATGTAAGAAAATAATAAAAACTGTTAACAAGTAAATAAAAAAAGTCGTTATATATTGCTCTTAAAAATTTGAGACAAACTTAGTTCTGAGCTGAGAAATTATTATTTCTATATTATTGAGTTGGTCATTTTACTTTGATGTTTGTATGAAATTGTATATTTCTGTTGTATGTGCTTTGACATTGAATAATGATCTACGTACACAATCTGCATGCATTCCAAAAGTTTTTTAATAGTAACAGGTAGATATGACTAAACTGTTACAAATTAACACCATAAGCAGTACCCGTAAAACACACTCTAGGCCCAAAAGTAGCATCCTAAGCACCGAAAAAAAAAGACTCTTGTCCGCAGCGAACGAAACTTTTTGATGAAAATTTTCCCGGCCTCGTAAATTTCCGCAAAAACACTTTCTTCAGTGTGGAGCTTGTGCTCACGCTGTAAAATACGAGAGGGACAAATTTATGAGTGTCATTTGCCGGTCGGGTCCAAAGTGTGGTTTGGAGCGAGTTTTCAAAACACCGTTTACACGATCGCGCGTGGACGTCGGGCTCTCACTTTTGATGAGCTTCAATTTTCAGCATTGAAATTCTGAAACCGAGTAAAACCCTCAAAACTGTAATGCAAGTGCACTCATCGCCACAAAGGAAGAATCATCGCCCCAGAGTAGTAAAACTCAATGCAGAGCCCTAAAAGAGAATGGCTGGCACAAAGGCACATCGAAGCGTTTGAAAAAAAAAAAAAAAAAAAAAAACTAAAGCCACGTACACACCGAACTGCAGCTTGGCCCCTCTTTCCATTAACTTTTTCCTCGCTCGCTGGTATATCCGTTTGTATAGCCATCGCTCAAGGGCCACGCAGGTATGTAGTATAACCACTGTTCCATTCTCCGAGCACGCCACGTTCGTGTACGTAGACAAATACAAGAGGAGAGGATGACGAGTGTGCGACGCGAGCATAAATAAGAGAGAGAGAGAGAGAGAGCTTGCAAGCTCGAGCACGCTCGCGACACGAGAGAAGTAGGGTGGGGGAGGAAAAATATAGCGAGCCGCGATAGCTCGTGGATGAAGCGCTGCGGGGCTATTGTTTATACCGCTTGAGCTCTATTGTGCGGAACAGCCAGTCTTTTCGGGCTGTGTTTTGTGGGTACCTGCGTATGTACTCGTAAACACGCGTTCGTGAGAAAGAAAATAGGTAAGGGAGAGAGTGAGAGAGAGTGAGAGAGGAAGGGGTAGGCCACCACCGCGTCAAAGTTGAAGGGATCCAACCCTGAGGCAAGCCACGTTCCTGAAGCTGCTGCTTCTCGTGTTCTCCAGGCCATCGTCTCTTCATAAACGCATGTGCAGCCAAGCTACACTTGTGCGGTCACAAATTTTCGTTTATCGCCCGCTGGCCTTCCTTCCGTCGCTTTCTTTGGTCCCCGACATTTTCTGCCTTACCCCCTTTTTTTATTGTACATCATCTTCCCCAGCTCTCTTCATTTTTTTTTTACTCTTTTTTGAGACGGCAGGGGGCCGCCATAAACTCGTAAATTTTTACAGCTATTTAATGGTTTTTTACCACCACCAGCGCAGCTACAGTTTTTCAAACGAAAGATTTTCGCGTTTTTATGGGCTCGGCATTCTCCCCACCCCCCTCTCTCTGTCTCTCTCGCTGTGCCTCTACTCCACCCAAGGGGGGCAGGGCGTAAGAGGGACATTTTTATTTTCTGTAATATATATCCAGACACGCGTACGCCCCGAGTTGCACGGGTGCTTTAGAATTTCACGAGAGCGCGCGGGAACATGACGGAGATGCTGATGAGTTGCTCGGTTAAAGTAAAGTAATTAAAGGTATTTTTCATGTCAGTTCGTTCAATAGAGCTTACATCAGTTTCACTTTTGATGGTACCAAACAGCCGATGGTACAGAAGGTTTTCAATCAATAAAGGCCGAATTGAATCAAAAGTGGGTTAAGCTTTGTATCAATTTTTCGAGAGACGGAAAAAACTAATCCTAGCTTTTGGTATAACATTTTCTAACATGTATTTCAACACTAATTGAAATTCCTTTCGAGTCTACGCATTACAGATTTTTTGCACACCACAGGGCTTTTTACAAATCACCCCTTCAACTGGTACCAGATAGGGATAGGAGGTAAAACGCTGTCCTGAAAAATTACGCAGTGTTTTTTTTTTTTTTTTTTCTACATTTTTGCGTAATTCCATGTGGGTATGAATCAGGGTGAGTATTTTTTTTAATTCCAGGGAAAACGTGTAATGAATAGCATACTTTTTACGTCTGTTTAAAATTTCATTGTTATTGTACAGCAATAGTGATAATAATTTTTTGCTACTCATAGCACTGCAATTTAATTAAAATATGAAATACCAGTGCTGACGTACTTAAAATTGTGTGATGTAAAAAAACCTTACGAATCCACCATGCACTGCAGTACATTTTAACTGCGCGACCGCACGAGACTTCTCGTTCCTTTAACCTCGTCAATTTTATTACAACATAAGGGATAACAACAAAGACGAAGGAAGGGATGAAAAAAAAACAGCTGAATTTGAAAAAAGCTTGTGCTTTGCACAGAATGGCGAACTGAAGTCTTTACGGCCTACTATTTTTGAAAAGTCATCGCGAACGATTTATCGCGTCGGCCATCACGGAAGCTCGAGAATGTTTTCTCGGAGCACCTCTTGAATCCTGATTCAGGGCATATCGTAACACTCGCTCTCATGGAAAAATGAGATGGCACGAAAACGGCGCAAGGGCTGCAGAGATCGTAGAGAAAAGTTGATGAGCTGCTTTTTCTTCTCCTTGCAAGTTTGAAGGAATTTTTTTGAGAAATGTATATTTCTGCGCTTCATGCTCATAACGAAGAATAGTGCATTACGCTGTTGATGGAAAATCTGGCTAATTAAAAATTCAAGTGACGCGAGGGTGAGTAATGTAATTCGCGGAGATGGTCCGCAGCTATTCGCAAACTTCGAGGCTGAGAGCAAAACAAAGTTTTCCGGTGATACCAATAAAACTTTTATCATGAATAAAACAGCAGGTACTTCACGGGGGCGAATTGAAATACTCGCTTACATGTTTTTTTTTCTTACAAGAATGTAATCTTTATCTTTATTATTATTATTATTTTCAACCGCTGTATGGTACTGAAAATAAATTATCTCATCGTAACACACATCATCGTTTGGAATTAATCTAGCCATAAATGTAGGAAACGTTCCAATGGAAATAACAAGGTAAACGACAACACCATAAATTTCATCAAGTCCGCTAAAGTAATATTCCTAATGAAATCGCCAATCTCTGGGTGTATCCCACAATTGTACTCAGCACTAAACTTTGACTCATAAAAACACCCAAACGCCGTACCGTGCACGATCTGCCGTTTATCGCAAGAACGTGCGCGTTAAATTATTCCAAAAGCCAAGAACGGAAAGCAAAATAGCACCAAGTGTCGAGCGCTTTATTTTGGAGCAACATCTAGAATTTGAGTTTTAAAAAATTTTACAAACAACACTTTCGGCGCGTGGTATACACAAGGACAGCCGCTAAATTTTAGGGTTAAATTAATTCCTAAAGTTAATTCCGCCAAACTTCCGAGACTACCGAACATTACATCTTTCACGCGCACTTGATCTCCCGCGCGTGCAACTTCATCCCCGACAGCTTAAGAACATCTGTAAATCTACCAACTTTTCCCCCTAAATTTTCGCCTAATTTAATAATAAATTAATCAAGCGTCAGTCTACCCTCGAGTCGTCCATTAAAGAAACAACTTTGACAACTCGTAAAAAAATAATGTTAAAACACCCAAAGCGTTTGCAACAGCGGCGGCCACTGACCTTCCTCTGCCCGGGAATTATTAAATCGGTGGCGGTGGCAGAGCAAAGAAAAGAAAAAAATCCAACCTTTAATTTCACTCTGTTCCATCCTCTGGCGTGCCCCTCTTCATGGACCCCACCCTGTACATCGATAAGCTACGGGCGTCGCCAGCGCGAGGGGTCTCTCTTGACTTTATATTATTTACGCGCACGAATGTACGGCCTAGCCAGCTGCCCGCTTTATTATTAACTGCAAGCTCGTGCGCCTTTCGCATCGATCGCTGAACCTCAAGACTGTGTTGTACGTATACGTGGGGGGTGTGTACCTTATGTGCGTTTAATGGACACATGGGTTTTATTTCTCACTTTTTTTTTTTTTTTTTTTTTTTTTTTTTTTTTTTTTTTTTTTTTTTNTTTTTTTTTGTTTTTTTTTTTTTTTTTTTTTTTTTTTATGTGGTGTAGGAAATCTTACATAGGCACCTTCCATATGGAAAGGTAGTGCCAGATTCTTACTGGCTAAAACCTACCACCACATGGAGGACCAGCCGGGTTGGCTATACGCTCCTAAAGAGAGAAGGAAGTAAGAGAAGCTGAGAAAAAGATTAGAAGAAGTGAAATTGGGCTGCGGAGAGTTGGGGCCAAATCGGAGTTCATAGAGTAGAACTAGTTTGGCGCTGACGCAGATAGGTGCGGGACTCGAACAGGGTGTAACCCAGATGGTAAAAGATGAAGTTTTCTTACTAGCTAATGGCACTGAGGGGTGTGCCGGTCAAGAGCTAATTCTGTTCAGAAAATTTGGTGCGAATGTTTCGTTCGATCAGTGTTAGGTACAGTGGTGTTTAATTTTTCACGAGATCTGAAGAATAGCTGCCGTTAGATTGACGACGAATGTAGAAACAGCTGACTGGATGACTGCATGTAGGGCGTTATTTGTAGCGGGGCCAAGGAGGGACGTCTGTTTGCCTGCTCCCTTGGTAGCTTGGGCGTAGCTCAATCCTTGTTTGGGTTGGTTGAGAATGTCGTTGGTTTGGTTGACTGCTTTGATATGTAAGGGCTGT